CTTACCCTATTTAGTTGGTTGCTTCCAATCTCATTCGTGGATTCCTGATCGTTTTGGTCCCTCTCTAGAACATCTTTCAGTATCCTGTGTAAGGTTGGCTTTGTCATCGCTACATTTTTTAGCTGTTCTTTGTCATGGAAGTATTTCACTTGTCCATGAAACTTGAAAGAGAGTTTTGAAGGGTATAGTAGTCTTGGCTGGAATTTGTTTTCATGGAGGACCTGAAGTACTCTGCTCCATACTCTTCTTGCCTGCATGGTTTGTGAAGAGATGTCGGCTGTAATTCTGATGGGTTTTCCTTTGAATGTGATCTCCTTCTTTTCTCTATTGGCTTTCAGTAGATTATTCTTGTGCTGAATTTGTGGGATCTTGACTATTATATGTCTCGATGTGTTTTTCATTGGGTTGAGTTTCCTTGGCGTTCTGTATGCTTCAGTTACCCGAATGTCAGATTGTTTCCTCATATCTGGGAAGTTTTCTGCTATTTCTTCTGCCCATATTTTTTTAATGTCCTTTGTATTGAGTCCTTGTTTCTCATTGATGCCTATTAGTCTCACATTGTTCATCTTTCCATCATCTTGCACGTGATGGATTATTCTTTCCTGCATCCTCGTTTTGTTTAAGAGATCCTTTCTTACCTTTTTGCTAGCTACATCAGCATCTTCATGATCTGAAACTCTGTCTTCCCATTCACTTAATCGGTTTTGCAAGCTTGTGATTGAGAATTTAATTTCCTCTATATCTCTTTGACTGTGCTTCATGCGATGTATTTCTTTCCTATATTGCTCATTCAGGGAATCCATCATTTTTCTAATCTCCTCTATTTTTTTTTATCAATTTCTTCTTTAGAAGCAGTTAGAAATTCTTTTACTGCAATGTTTTATTCATATTAGGTTTCCTGCCTATGTTTCTGTAGTTTCTTGTTTACTTCATCTGCTATGAGTTCTGAGAGTTCTTTTTTATTTCAGAAAAGAACTGCGCTCTTATTTCCTCTATATCTTTCTGCTGTTGCTTATTTCCTATCGACGCTATTAATTCATGCATTTGTGCAGATCTAGTATCCTCCGCACTTGTTCTGGATGGGCACTGGGTTTTTTCCATACGCTTCTGCATTTGATTCTTTAGTGCAGATATTATTAATTCAGGCATTTCTTTTTTCATTTCCAATCTGAGGTCTTCTCCATCTTTCTGCAGCTGGTTCTTTATTTTAGATGCCGTTGATTAATTGCTTTCAGCTGTGTGATTTCCAATTTGTTCTTTGTTAGTGACCTCTGCGCTTGTTATGGGTGAGCTTGGGTTCTGAAGTTACATTTTGTTCCTCCTCATCATTTTGTGTAGCACTGTCTTCTGACCTTTGGTGTAGATCTTTGCTGTAGTTATAATCTTCTCATGTACTGAAGTTCAGGTGCAGCTCTACAAAATTTGGAGTTATCCAGCTGAGTCTGGCTTGTTTCTGGCTGCTGTGCTCAGCTCCTTCCCACTGCTGCCCTTGAGGGTGAACCTGTTTTGCCCCTGTGGCGAGATGTTCTGCTCCTGTACTAGCTGGTTGGATCTATCCTTACACTCTCTGCAGGGATTGCAGCTGCAGGATTACACCCGAGGTGTTTATGCCAGGCCTGAGCTGTGCCTGGAGCGGGCAAGTTGAAGGAGCGGGAAGAGGAAGCTCTCCCACACATTCACCGGACCTGGGCTGGGACTGGGTCTGGGGTTGCAGGACGCGGCAGAAATTCCTATTCAGCGGGCGCGGTGGGGGAGGCACCGCAGAGTGCTGGTGGGTGGCCCAAGGGAGTGGGAGAGGGTCCGTCCCACGCTGCGCCCAGGCTGGGACTGGTCCCACCGGCGCAGGGTAGCAGGAAGCTCTCCGCACACTCACCGGACCTGGGCTAGGACTGGGTCTCCAGGTACAAGTTTCAAATTGTTCATAAATAACTGTGGAAAGTCCAATTAGCTATTTTCACTATCTCCTTTCATGTATATATTCCCGTTAGAAAAAAATCTTAACAGTAGTACTTTTCTATCCCTTCTCCCCTTTGGCATTTACTGAGTAAGGCTGCGTCTCCACTGGACTATGTGCAAAACTATGACTCTCATACCTCTCACCTTCCTGAACATGAGAGAGAGCTCTAAGTCATCTCAAGGAATCAACCATGCCAGATATGAGCTTCCTGTTTCAGAAACCATTAAGGAGGAGAATTACAATGGTGCCAATTGGAAGGAATAATTAAATGAAAGGCTAGAGGAATGGGTGACTATGAATTGTTTTATTACCTTGGAGCCTCAATGCACATAGTAAATTACATGAATTGAACAATGTGACTTCCAGTTCTAAAGACTTCTGGAATTTAATGTACAAGTTGATGAAAATAGAAAATAAATGTCAGCAAGTAGCACTGCATTATTCCACTACACAAGAGGAATTTCAAATATACTATTCACTTTGGTAATATCTTCTTTTTAAAAAGAGGCCCTAATCAGAAGTGGAGTAGCATCCCTGTAGTCACAGCACATTTTATTCTGGGGCAGTAGGATCACCCTGAGCTCAAGGCAAGAATGGGTTTCAGACTGAGATCAAGGCAAGACTGAGTTATATAGTAAGACTCTGTCTCAAGAAAAAAGTTTATTTTTATTTTCATTGTTAATTATGATAAGATATGAATAAGTAAATGTATCATCTTAACCACTCTTAAGCAAAACTTAGTAATATTAATGCCAGTATCTTTTTGTGCAAATATTTTTCTTACCCATCTTCAGAAAATTTTTATCTTCCCTCCTGAAATTCCACTATCACCCAATCACCCATGATTGTAATGGAAAAATCAAAAGTAAACTAACATGATCTACAAAATGGTTCTTAGGAGTTAATTTTGGGTCTGAAAGCTCTACATTTTCAAAGCTACATTGCAAATGGATGGCCAATGTTTTGAGATTAAACCCTCCAACTATGGAGCTTCTTCAGTGTGCTGCTAATGTCCCTGTTTCTCAGGCTGTAGATGAAAGGATTCAGCATAGGGGTGACCAAAGTGTACATCAGTGAAGCCACCATGCCCTTGTTGGGAGAATATGACACAGCTGAACCGATGTAAGTTCCAATGCCTGTTCCATAAAATAAACAAACAACCGACAAGTGAGCACTACATGTAGAAAAAGCTTTGTACCTCCCGCCGGATGATGAGATTTTGAGAATAGAGGAAACAATTTTATAGTAAGAAAAGAGGATTCCTAACATGGGAAAAAAACCAAATATGGCAGAAACAAAATATGTGATTATGGTTTACAATAAAGTGTCAGAACATGAAAGATTAAAAATTTGAGAAGGATGACAAAAGAAATTAGCAATTTCTACAGCCTTGAAGCAGGAGAATTGCAAGGCAATTAAATTATGCAGCTGGGAGTCTAGGAGGCTAGAAAAGACAGAAAGCAAAAGTAACAAGACACAGAAGCGAGGGTTCATAATGACTGAATAGTGCAGAGGGTGGCAGATAGCTACAAACCGGTCATAGGCCATCACAGTCAAAAGCATATCATCCATACAAATATATATAATAAACAGAGACATCTGTGTTAGGCAGCTCACATAGGAGATGACTCTGCTGTGAGTTAATATATCCACAATCATCTTTGGGACCGTGGTAGAGCTGAAGCAAATATCAACAAAAGACAGGTTGGAGAGGAAGAAATACATGGGGGTGTGAAGGTGGGAGTCAGAGCTGATGGCCAGGATGATGAGTAGGTTCCCAAGCACTGTGACCAGGTACATGGACAAGAACAGTCCTGCAAGTATAGGCTGCAGCTCTGGATTTTCTGAGAATCCAAAGAGATGGAATTCTGAGATGTAGGTCAGATTATGTGCTTCCATTCTTCCTTAATACCTTTTAAAAAATGATTGGAATAATGAAAGCAATAAATATCACAGAAAACTATATGTTACAAGTTCATATTGTTTTTTCTTTCTTTCTTTTTTTTTATATTTTAGGAAAGGGTGTACAAGGTGTTCAGGTTCTCACTACTAGATCGGACTCATAGTGTTCTGCCTGTCTACAGCCTCCCAAAAGCTGGAATTACAGGAGTGCGCCACCATGCCCAGTCTCAATTGCCATCTCAGAGTGCCTTAAGAGTGGGGTCAGCATGACAGGCCCAGGGACCAAACCCTGGCCCCTGCGCCTGCTTGCAGGCACTTTAATCCACTGAGCTATTTGGCTGGCCCTTATACGTTCATATTTTCATATGAAAATGTTCCCACGTGGTGCCAAAACCCTTTAGCCCTATTGTTCCACTGTGAAAAACCCTATTCTCGAGAACTCTTTCATTAGTATGTTATTAATTATCCATTTTGTCCTGTATACTCCTAGTTTGCATTATGATTTACACAATTAGAATACAAGAGCTTATATTTCTATGATCCTTGTAAAATGCTACCAAGTCTTACTAAAAGAGTAGATGATCCTATTAGAAGAAAATTGAGTAGCATTCTACTATTATGGATGTGGCATTAGAGCATACTGTACCTGTCAATGATTAAAGATAATAAGTGATAAGAAGCACAGGAGATTTTTAATTTTATACAGATTTATTCTAATCTTTTCCTATGTTGTCATTAAGTATTTATTTCATGTGTAAGCCTCCTCTTTTACTTGATCCTGTATTGTACTTAGCATCTTAATACATTTAATTATTTTTAAAATCATAACACTGATTATGAGCAGTCATAGAATTAGGATTTCTATTCTTTTGGCTGGCTCAGGCTGACTTAAGGGTGGGTCTGGTGCAGCATGTGGAGCTGGGGATTAAACCATAGTCCCCTGACCCTGACTGATTTTACCCAAGCAGGTACTTTAAGTGGTAGAATTAGAAATAAGAAAATTCCCAAAGTCCTGGTTAACTTCAAATCTTTCTAGTTACTGTTGACAGAGTTTTTGAATCAATCTTTCTTGGTACATAATTGCCAGTTTTAAATTTAGCTACCTGAAAGAAAATTGAACACTCTATTTTATCAAGTCACACTATTATTTAATTGTGAATAAACAAAATAGAAGTCAATGAAATGATGTGAGTACACCAGACCACTCACCTGAAAAAGAAAATATGCATGAAATAGTGTAAATATACTTGTAAGTAATTTAATTCTCCATGATCTGTAAAATGGAGATACAATCACCTTTCTCATATTGTTGATATAAGAAAGTGTTTGAAAATATTTCATTTGCTTCTAAAGATCCATTTAAATATCCGGACATTGTAGATTCAGAACAATAAATTTAATCAGATTACCTGTATTTTAATTTTTTTGGCTAATCTTTCACTTCAGAGTTTGAATCACTGTTTTGACTATTTCCTTACATTCAGAATATACTCCTTCAATGTTATCTCTTTATATGTTTATATATAAAGATACATTAATGTTTCCATCATAACCATTGTTTATCAAGTTTGAATTGTTGGTATCTTTCTATAATTACATTCTGTTATTGAACGGTGCTCAAATGAATACTTTTTCACCAGTACTCATTATTGTCAATGTTCTCAGATCAATATTGATTTATGAATCCACAGTTTTTTTTAGAAACTTACCTAAAAATACCTAAAGCTAATGCAAGTTTTGTATAGCATAAATAATTTTGCCTCTTGAACAGAGGAGCTTACATACACAAGAGGTTTTAAGTTTTCATTAATTAAAGAAATCCATTACCCAGAGATACTTCATCCAAATCATGTTGATTATTGTGACATTCTATTGAAAGTTCTTCTGCTTCTCACCTTTTCACACAAGTTAAGATGTGCATACCATATAATATATTGATGGGAGATACTTTATTTCCAACAAATAATGTATGCAAAATTTTACTAATTTTTTTTCCAGAAAACTTCACTTTTTATCACTTACAAGCTCTTGTTCTTGTGGCAAAACTTCAAAATATTCCTTCAATCTGTCCATGAATTAGCTCTGTAGGATACTATACAAAGAAATGCCATTTTGCTACAGTGTGTGAGAGTGCGTCCTGGAATAAAACAAAGGCAATCAATAGTTTAGTTCAGTGTCACTGAACTACTGAATATGCACAGCTTGTGTGAATCTGTCCTATTCTCCGTGCTCACGTGACCCAAGGAAAATAAAGAGCACACCACTCATCTTTATAGGTGTGGCAACTAAACTTCCTTTGGAATAGAAGCATGTAGTATTGTAAGTTTTTGTTTTTAAAATAAAAATTCCATCATTATGCCAATAGGATGTTTGCTAAAAAATACAATGACTCTATTCAAATGGCACCCAAGTGTGTAGCGACCTGAAGTTCTATTGTGCATTTTAGAATGAAGTATGCATTCACTTGCTCCCTTCTCTCTGTGCCTTTTAAAAACCATGAGTATTTCTGATGTGTTTTTGAATAATGGATATAGATGCAGTAAAATGAATTACAGGGACTATGTGTCCTTGACAAAGCCAAAGTCACCCAATTTTTCTTGTCTCTTAAACTATGGAACATTCGTTAAGTGAGAGAACATGAATACAGGAGTGGATCAAGCATTTTCACATCATGCTGAATAAGGACAAGCATTTTGACCTGAGGATATGTCCAATCAATGTTTAACAGATATTTTTATGTTTTATGCCTTCTATCGGAAGACCATATTTAGGTTGTTGGCAATCAGATATAAAAGACTTTACATGATTTCCCTCCAAACATATGTATACAAATACACAAAACCAAATAAAATAACTCACTACAGAAATAGGAAATGATCTCAGTTCACAGGACATAATTGGTATAATGATTATTTTCCTAATTGACTATGATAATTAAATTTTATTTTTCCTAATTTTACATACCTTAACCCCATTTTGAAGCATTCAATAACTGCATAACCCTTTGTGCAGCTGTCACAGCCAAAATTCAAAAAGGACAATGCTACCTCAGAGATTTTTAAAAATGCACGCTGCTTTGCAGAAACAAGAAATAGAATTGGAAGAATTAAAATTTACATCAGCAGATACTGTCAAAGGCATCAAATTTTTGGTTGTTTTCCAACCAACCGAAAGTTTGAAGCAGATGTTCAAAGGTCTTAAACACAGGGGATAACTGAGTTACACTTTAAATTCATTTCCTAAGTGGAAATAAAGGGTAGGTTTGATATAACCCCACTTGATGCTGTGGGGAAGGATGAAACTGCAAGGATATCTTGCAGCAGTGACAGGAAAACAATCTGAATTATCAAGCTTACACTTTATATGATTTTTGCCTCTGACATATATCTGTCCTCTCTATGGTGAATGGAGCAGATGCCTGGCACTTCTCTGCTCTGGTATATATCAGGAATTCCTTAAAAGGAAGGATTAAGTGAACAAGATCCTTTTTTGGGCAGGAAATGACATAGCTGTCAATGTTGTAATGGAACAACTTTCCAGGATTAATACTCATGTGATACTCTGTGTCTATAATCACACAGGTCAACTCAAAAGTTACTTAATATTTTACTATTTAAAAATCTATTGCAGATTTCATTGAAATGACATTTACATTTTTCTTTAAGCAATAACAATGTTGATATTTATAATTCCATGAAGACAAAGCACATGAAATGAAAGCAGCTGCATAGAACACATTTATAAATACTTGGAATAAAGGAAGCCTTCAAAACAAGTCCACAATTGTTCTTATCCTTGTCTTTAACATCTTTATTGTTTTCTTCACCCTTTAGGAGTGTTTAAGAAACATTGCAGAAAGACCTAGTTTTCCTGCTGAATAAGATGCTGATGTGAATTAGAAAGGGGTATGGAGGAAGGAAATTTGGCATGACAATAATAATTGTTTTCTCATGCCATCTTGGAAATCAAAACCAAGAATATAACATTTCAATTCCTCATAATTGATACTTTTCATATTTGTGCCTTTAAAATCTTTACAAGATGTGAAAGATCATTGTTAGATATCTGAATGAGAATTAAATCAACTTTGTTCATAAGACTGGCAAAAGTTAGAGTCAGAACAATTATTAAGACTTTCTGTGAATCTTAGTCATAATTTTTAGTTGAAGATAACATAATCTACTATATCTAAACAAAAATTAGCAAACCAGAATGACAGGCATTCCAAGCATGGCCCTAGTATTACACATTGCTATCTTCAGTGCAGTTACTTAGTTCACAGGTAATCAGCATATATAGTTAGTCAGGGTGAGAATCCTACCAATTAACTGCTAGTTTCAAAAACCTGCTGAAGATTCTCAGGATTATTGCCTTAACCACCTTATGCATATAAATGTATTCAGCAGAAAAGTATGAAAATGAAGTATAAAAAGTAAAGCCATATTAATATGCTGAGCTGTAAAAGGCTCAAATTAACAACTTCTGACAATGTCAGTCCTACAGATCACCCACTGCTATTATGGATTACTGGACTATATTGGATTATTTTGATGAAGTCACACACCTACAATATTTAAATGGTAATGGAATATCCATCTCTGACAAAACTAAACAAAAAAGGGAGATATAAATGAAGGACCATTTTGTACTAAAATCTATCTATCTATCTATCTATCTATCTATCTATCTATCTATCTAAAATATGATAGATATACATCTACTTTCTCTTAATTCAATGAGAAGAAAGATGTGTACTAATAGTGTTTGGACAAGATATCATGCCTGCATCTTGTACTATGAACAACTACTACAAAGACAACAAAATGCAATGTATTAATTATTGAAACTGTCCTATTAGCCTGTTTTGAAACTGTCTCACTGCTATTTATTTCTCAATAAAATTTTAAAAAAGAAGCTCCCCAAAATTAAAAAAAAACATAGAAAAACAAAAATTAGCCATAATAAAATTATTTGATTCTCAGAAAATTAGAATTAATGAAGAATAGACTATAAAGGCTGTGCACTATGCAGGGCCTCTCTG